TCATCTCATTAGCCTTTTCGGCGAAGTGAGGTGTTACAAGTTATTACATTCAAAACATTGAAAGCTGAATTTGATATTGAACTTCGCAGAACTAGCAGCCATATCTTCAGGCTCTAGAACCCGAAGGTCGATAGTGTTCCTTCCTCGGCCGCAGTCGCGAGATTTAGAAGTCAGCAGCGCATCCAACGCAACATCAGCATATTTTACTCCTCGGCCGAGCTCGGCCGAAGAGTTGACACGCCCCGCATTCAACCGAAGGACTTAGTTAGCTCATAGATTACTCGGTCTGTGCGCCACGTAGACTTAATAGTTTTTAGGGTCAACAATAATATACAAATTTATTCAAGCTAAAAACAACACAATACTTTTTTAAAAGAAGATTAAATGTAAAAAATAGAAAGCTAAAATAAATAAAAGAAAATAACTGAATATCAATTGCAACGCCAATCATCCTCTGCAAGCCTCTGCCACCAACAAGGAAGAAAATATCGGTAATATCGGAAATATCGGTAGTCCGAAAACACGGAAATATCGATGGAAATATCGGGATAATATCGATATCGATAAAATTACATGGAAACCACGGAAATTGTAAGAAAAACTTGGAAATTTTTAATGAAACTTTGTAGGATGTTTATTTAGTCAATTATCTATTAGTTTATCACAAAAAATTGGAAGGAAATGCATTGCATGATGGATTTAACTGATTTAAGTTGATTATATAGCGAGCTGGCAAACATTGTGAGTGTAGAAAATATGTAGTAATTAATGAAAGAAGTTTAAACACACCATAATCATTTATATATAATTAATTAGTACAATATTTGGAGGTTTTATTTAGGATATTAAAAAAAAAAAAAGGGAAGTGAATAAAATGATGAAGAATAATGTGCCGAATTTGACAATTTAAATTTCTTACACATAAGCATGCGTCTAGGCGTTGAAGTTCCAAATTATAGTATATCAATTAACGATTGAAAATCAATACATTGAATAAGATTAAACTTTAAATTTGGATGCCGATTATGTTTTTTCAACTTGATATAAAGTAAAAGTATTGAATTTTGGAAGCTAGGAGTGTGTCAATTGAATTTTGGCTGACGTGCAAGGTATCAATCTCTTCGTCTCTTCGAGGGCTACAACTTTCCTTTTTGTTTCACTCAATTTCGTTGCGTATTGAAAAAGTTAGACTCATTTGAATCTTACCCAGTTTCCGGCGACCTCAGTAGATTTCGAGGCAATTTCCGGCCAAACCACAACGAGTCAGACGTCGTGTGAGGTACCATTCTCTTCGTCTCTTCGAGGGCTACAACTTTCCTTTTTGTTTCACTCAATTTCGTTGCGTATTGAAAAAGTTATACTCATTTGAATCTTACCCAGTTTCCGACGACCTCAGCGACCTCAGTGACTTTCGAGGAATTTTCCGGCCAAAACACTACGATTCAGACATCGTGTGAGGTACCATTCTCTTCGTCTCTTCGAGGGCTACAACTTTTCTTTTTGTTTCACTCAATTTCGTTGCGTATTGAAAAAGTTATACTCATTTGAATCTTACCCAGTTTCCGACGACCTCAGCGACCTCAGTGACTTTCGAGGCATTTTCCGGCCAAACCACTACGATTCAGACATCGTGTGAGGTGCCATTCTCTTCGTCTCTTCGAGGGCTACAACTTTCGTTTTTGTCTTGCTTGATTTCGTTGAGTTTTGACAACGTTATGGCCGTTTAAAGTGGGTGTAAAATTTCGGCCGAAATTTTGATTTTTTCCCCCATTGGGCGAGTCCCACATCGCCCATGCAAGGAAGTGAGCAATGAATTTTTCCTATAAAACTCACACTCCCCTGGTGAGATAACCAAAACTTATTTGGCCTTTGGGCCATGATCAAGTTAACTATGTGTTGAGTTTTCTCAACATATTTAAGTATTTTTTAATAAAATATTGTGATATTGTAGATAATTTCGATAATATCGTGATATTATCGATAATATTGCGATATTTTGACGAAAATAGGTTGGATAGTTAAAAAAATTTTGGAACTTCAAAAAAACGACAATATTGGCGATATTTCACTGATATTATCGATTTTTTCCTCCTTGGCCACTAATAACTCCCAATATCAATGCCAAATTTATTCTTTAAAAAAAATTTAACATTTTGAGAATTGATTCAATCATGCTGTTAACACAGGGTGCTTTTAAATTCATTAAAACTGTTTTTGGGCCCAATAGATGGGCTGGAGAGAGAGCCCAATGAAAAATGAAGAAGATTAAGACATTGGGATTATAAGCTAACTTAAGGAATCCAGATGACATAACTGTTGAAGTATATCCAAAATCAATTGACGTGACAACATGTAATTGGTTATTCATGGCAACCTAATGTCGAGTCACCGACAATGAGGGCATATAAGAATATTCGTCAATCAAATGTGACCTAATAGCGGCTTAGGAAAATTTGTTGTTGACTAGGATGAGTGCAAAGAATATCATAAGCTGTAGGGACGAGATGTTGGGTTGTGAACTACTTTAGTACACATGTTCATAAATTGGCAAGGTGACGAATGCATATATAATCCAATTTAAATGCTTGGTTAGCGGAACTTTGGATTCCATTTTAAGATTATTAAATTAATCCATGTGATCTAAGTTAATCGACGCGCTTGTGTTCATGTAAAACAATTTTAAGAACAAGTGCAAAATTTAAATTAAGTTTAGTATTCCAACCTTTAGATTTCATATGAAGATGAATTTGTTGTTGATGATTCAACTAATATAAAAGTTCAAGGGTTGCTACTTAATACTACATTATAGTAATATTCCTCTTTACTTATAAATGCAATTTTTTTTTTTGACAAATGATAATATTTACACTAAGGGGGATAGAGAGTAGGCAAGCCTTACAATGAGCTTGCCATAATAATGTGGTTCAACTTCGCATTTGGCGAGTATCGAGCCTAAGACATTGCTACTTAATACTACATTTTAGTAATATTCTTCTTTACTTATAAATGCAATTTTTTTTTTTGACAAACGATAATATTTACACTAAGGGGATAGAGAGTGGGCAAGCCTTACAATGAGTTTGCCATAATAATGTGGTTCAACTTCGCCTTTGGCAAGTATCGAACTTAAGACCTCTCACTTACAAGTGAAAAAAAATACTACTAGACTGCAATACTGAATAGTACTTATAAATGAGCTTTTAGGTTTGAATATTGAAAATGACGAGTTTGCAACTAATTTATTCATTACCCCCTCAACATAAATATATCATTGTGTAGAAAAATACACAAAATAATTGACAAACAATTGAAGAAAAATTAGAGAAAAATCGGTGAATGCCTCCTTTGTCTAGCTCCTCGGAGAAAGAAAGCAAAAACAAAAATGTTATTCTTATCATCTATTTGTAACATATCTTTACTAAAGATAGGACCTACGTGTATTGGCCGGCCATGCCTCTATGAAAAGATAATACAAATGATGATAGAATAGATAGTAAATGTAACAGTACTCAAGTAAAAATATATCGGTGAAAAACAAAAATAATAAATGGTATCATGGTGGTGGGGCAACAAAAATGTTATTTTTACCATCTATTTGTAACATATCTTTACTAAAGATAGAACCTACATATATTGGCCGGCAGTACCTCTATGAAAAAATAGTACAAATAATGATATAATAGATAGTAAATGTAGCAGTAGTCAAGTGAAAGTATATCGGTGAAAAACAAAAATAATAAATGGTATCATGGTGGTGGGGCAACAAAAATGTTATTTTTACCATCTATTTGTAACATATCTTTACTAAAGATCGAACCTACATATATTGGCCGGCAATACTTTTATGAAAAAATAGTACAAATGATGATATAATAGATAGTAAATGTTGCAGTAGTCAAGTGAAAATACATCGGTGAAAAACAAAAATTATAAATGGTATCATGGTGGTGGGGCGCTAATTCTCACAAAGTTACCATCTCGCCTGCACGGCGCGTGATATATCAGAAAGCGATCCACTCCCCACGAGCAAAACGGTGTGCTCGTTCGTCATTACTGGTAGAGAGGGAGAGGTAAATGCCAGAGGCATACAACTGCGGGTCCCTCTCTCTCCCATCTTCTTCTTCGAAACCTGCATCTCTCTCATAACTCCTCTCTCTCTCTTTCTCTCTCTCTCCTGTGCGGCTTGGTGGATATGCAGAAGAAGCTCTATCCTTTAGCTTTTTAGCTCAGACCTTCCTCCCTTACCAGGCATCTCTCTCTCTCTCTCTCTCTCTAAAAGCTTGGCATTTTTTGTAATTTTTTCTTCTTTTTCTTAAACTTTTCCTCCAAAGTAGAATATTTACTTTGCGGTAAGCAAAAGGTAGAACATTTTACTCAAGGGAAAATTATCATTTTTACTTTCTGATTGCTTTTCCTTTTTTTTTTTATTGTTTGGTGAGTGAACAATTTTACTTTATTCTTTGAAATCTGAATCAGTCTTTGTTGTATGCTGTGGACTTTTTCTTCCATATGCAGTTTGTTTGACTCTGAATTTTCAAGTATTTGGTTCCTACCTCCTTCCGTTTTTATTATACTTCTATATTGTCCAAGTTGGGTTCTTGATTTTGGACTGTAAACTGTGTTTTTGACTCTGGAAAATATTGAATTTTGGTGTTATTTAATATTGCATTTGGTTCAAATCTTTGATTAGTTGTTGGTTTCGAAGGATGATGGCTGGATTGCGGCCGCACGGAGACTTTTACTGGTTCTGAAAGCGATCCCACATCACCGGAACTTCATACAAGTTGGCATTTCAACTGGGTTTTTGCTGATACTGTTGGCTGATCATCTTTTAAAGCTTGTAGCAATATGGTATTATTGTATTAAGTTTGAAGGAAATTGAAGTTCTTTATTCGAAAAATAAATGTTTTAGAGTAGAGTTGTATGGTGTTCTTCATATCAAGTTTGTTAGAGTCTTAGAGTGTAGTCGATAAAAGGAATCCGGTACCAGAGAGAAGTCGATGGAGCAAAAGGAAGGAGAAAACTGGAGGGAACTGGTGAGAAAGATGCTTCCACCAGGTGCTTCAATCCCTGAAGATGCTGCTGAACTTGATTACTCTATAGCTATGGAGTGAGGGCCCTCCTGTCTCTTATGACGTACCTAGGGTCGAACCCCTTGATGTTAATCCACATGGAATCCCAACTGCAGAAACGCTATCTGAATCACAAAGATCGGTTACCAGTACCGGTCCACCAGTTATTGAACCAATTCCTCTGCCTGTGTCTCGTATTGCTGGTGTCACAAGTTCCCCTACCCAAAGTCCAAGGGTATCAGGAAGCTCAGAGTCCGTAGTGTCTGTCTTGCAAAACCATGATTTTTCTTCAGCCTCGCCTTCAGCCTCTCCAGGTTCAGTTCATAATCCTCCAAGTACCCGTCCCAAACAGGTTGTCAATGAAGTAAAGCGAGCTCCCGTTGTCACTTTTAATACTGTAGATAGGTCAGAGAGGAAAGAGGTTGATGCTGAGAAGCCAGCTTTTCCAGCTTATGTTGCTGTTTCTAAGGAGAAGAAGAAAAAAAAGAGTAGAGCTTGTTATCGTTGCCAAAAAGGAAAATGGGAAACTAAGGAATCGTGCCTGGTTTGTGATGCTAAGTACTGCAGCAATTGTGTGCTTAGGGCAATGGGTTCCATGCCCGAAGGGCGTAAGTGTGTGACATGCATTGGTCAGCCAATTGATGAATCAAAGCGGTTAAAACTGGGTAAACAGTCAAGGGTATTGTCCAGATTGCTTAGCCCATTGGAAGTCAAGCAGATAATGAAAGCAGAAAAAGAATGTTCTGCTAATCAGCTTCGGCCGGAGCAGCTTATAGTGAATGGATTCCCTCTAAAGCCAGAAGAGATGGCTGAATTACTTGGATGTCCTTTACCTCCAAGGAAGTTGAAGCCCGGTAGATATTGGTATGATAAAGAATCTGGTCTCTGGGGAAAGGTGAGTTCAAACTTAACAATGCTTTTGTCTAATTTCTGATAAAAGAAAATACTGCCATGGATTCCATTTAACAACTCAACTTCTTGATTTGGCAGGAGGGAGAAAGACCTGATAGACTCATAAGTTCAAACCTAAATTTTAACGGGAAACTTAGCTCCGATGCAAGCAATGGAAACACTGAGGTCTACCTCAATGGCCGAGAAATTACAAAGCTTGAACTCAGGGTCCTAAAGGTACGTCCCATGAATTTACAATCGAAAAATATCTTATTATTTCTTTTTAAAGTCATAAGGTGTAACTTGTAGCTTGTGGTAAGCCACTAGGTTTTAGTGATGCTTTAGTCTGCACTATATGAATCTGGTATTCCATTTCAATGAGTGTTCTCTTTCTTTACTCCTTTTTATAATCTGGCCATATTTTCTCTTCTATTTAAGAATTGTTACCATGCATATAGGAGTTGCATCACATGGTGAGATACATTTCTGTGCATCAACGAGATTAAAAGCAATAGGAAGTAAAAGGTGATTCAAAACTATAATAAGCAATGAGAGTTAGTGTTCAATGGAAGTTAAAAGGTTTCCTGTACATAATAACTTGATCGGGGCTACATTTCACATTACATGCATGCGATGCTGAAGTGCACTTTTGGCCTTATTATGTATATGGGTTGTTCACCAGTTTGTTATAATTAGACTATAATTTCAAAACTGATTTTATTATTATACCATGATAAGGGCCCCTAAATACTGTCTGTCTTAAATGCTTTTGTTGCAGTCAATTTATTGCCTGTAGTAATATACTTCTTTACACTGTCAGGTAGCAAATGTGCAATGCCCACGTGACACCCATTTTTGGGTCTATGATGACGGACGCTATGAGGAAGAAGGTCAGAATAATATCAGAGGAAATATTTGGGAGAAGGTATGCACTGGAAAACTCAGTTGGATTTTTCGGAGCCTATGTTGATTATGGCTGTCTTTATGCAGCATGCTCATTTGCTTTTTGTTAGACAGGCAACAACTCGGTTTCTCTGTTCCCTATTCTCTTTGCCTGTGCCTCACGGTCAACCTAATGGACCAAGAGATGAGCCTAGCAACTATACCACTGTTCCAAATTATTTGGAGCAGAAAAAAGTTCAGAAGCTGCTTCTCCTTGGACTTCAAGGGTCTGGGACCAGCACAATCTTCAAACAGGTGCAGCCTTTTATTTAAGATCTTCGTTTGTACTGTGATTTTCTATGAAGTGTGGTTGTTATGATTGATTGATTCATTTATTTTCTTGGGTTGGTAGAGTGGGAGCCCTGGAAGTAAAAGAGAAAAGAGAGCATTGAAAATTTATTTATTCTTAAGAGAATGTTTTTCTTTCTTGGTTTTCTAGTCCTGTATAAGTTATTTGGAGGGTTAAACTTCCTGTCATTCTAGAGAATAGATAAGTGCATATGTTGTTTTATCTAGTTGCAACCATGAACATGTGATGAGCAGAGTTGTCAGTGTCACAAACTAGACAGAAGACGTCACCTTCAAGGTCCAGATCGAGAGGAGAGTTAATTTAGTTGACCTATTTTAGAGCTGAGCATCTTTGTTTTATATGTGTATTATTTGGTAAACAATGAGATATACAACCATCTAGGATTTATGGAACAAAAGTTTATTGATTGCTTTTAACTGTTGGTTATATAAGGGATCACATTAACTGTTGTGGAAGAGATTGAGAAGGAGAGAGATTGCAATGCAATCATGTTTCTTATACTCAAATGGGTCCATATACTTGAACTTTTCTTAGGAACTTTTTTAAATTGGCTTGTTGCTTAACTGCCTTTGAGATAAGAAAAGTAGCACAAAAATTTGGTGTTTGTTCACTAGACTCGGGAACTTTTCAGAAGAAATTTGTGGCTTTGTTGTATTTGAAATAAGAAAAGTAGAACAAGCAAAATTTGGGTGTTGACCGACTTGACACTGCAAATTTGTGAAGGTAATTGAATTTCGGGGTGGAGTTTCACAGTTACGCTAACTTATGTGCATTTAGTGAGATAGTAGACAGATTTCCTATGATTCATGTGTGTAGCTGGAACAGTTGCAAGTATTAACTTCTGTAGTTGTGAACAAATAAAATAAAGACATAGTATTCCTGTGGTAATGGCACTACTTCTATGGTTCGAGTATTTGGTGGGATCCATATAGATTTAATTTGGGGGGGATTAGCTAGTTGGTGAGGCAATAGCTTACCAAGACGATGGTCAGTAGCTGGTCCGTGAGGCTAAACTATCTTCTAAGAGTAGATACTATTACATAGGCTTGGGGCTCCCATGCATTACACTCAGATCAAGTGGAAAATGTATGGTACCATGCAAGTGCCAAACACTCTAAACATAATCATACTTGTTTTTTTTTTCGAACTGAAAAGCTAATTTGAGATGGCTTTTTTTCTTTCTAGATCTCAGATAAACAGGTTGATTTTCTATTGACTACAGCAGATTTTTTATTGTCAGTCGGATTGATGTTCACAGATTAATATTCTAACTGTATCTAGTTTCAAAAATATTCTAACTTGTGTTCCTCATCCACAAAAATTCAGATATTCCTGAATATGTTATAACTTATAATTATGAAATATTGTTCATATGGGTTTTTTGTGTTTTATCTAAAGTTTCATCTATTCTGTCCATTTGAAATCTCATTTCCCAGGCTAGGGATCACTGGGATCTACAGAAAACATTTACCAAATGCTGGTTGGTTGCTTGGTAATGGTCAAAGGCTAGGGTCTGGGGTCGAGGGATTTCTGGAACCTGTACCCCGTGTTATGGAAAGAGTAATTTGGTTCGTTGAGATTTAGTCCATTAGTGACCCGTTTTGTTGACCCGACGGCAGACCTGGTTCTGGGTAGCCAATTCCGGCAATTTTTGTTGGTTTTTCCGACGAATTCTACCCAACCCTTACCTGCATACACAACCCTGACCTCCATTCTCTCTTTTCCACAAAAAATCAGAGGGTCTTTGGCCTCGGTTTTGCGAGGATCGAAGCCAACGGCTTTGAGGCACCCAATGCGGCAATCCGCCATTTCTGAAGCCACCACTGTCGACCACCACCATCATTCAAACCCTCTTGAGACCAGGAACAAAATCCAAGCCAAGATTGAGGTGTTGGAGATCGTTTTGATGTTGAATCGAAGTTCATTTTGTTGACACATTGTATATTTTCCTGAGTGACATTTGCAATGGAGTTTTACTCTAAATTCTTATAGATCTTTCAATACTAGTTTTTGTAGCTTGTATTAATCAGTATTTTCATGTGGTCATTGGGCAGGCCAAGTTCTTGTATGGAAACAAGTTTACTTCAGAAGAACTGCAGGATATAAAGCTGATGATCCAGAGTAACATGTACAAATATCTAAGCATTCTGCTTGATGGACGAGAACGCTTTGAAGAAGAGGCTTTGTCTAGGATGGAAGGACATGGTTCTCACGATCAAAACGCTGAAGCAGGTAGTTTTGCAATTACACATACAATATTAAATTTTCAATTTTCACTCAAATTTCTACCATTGCTTCAATCATGATGGACTATTTTATTCCCAATTTGTAGTTGAAAGTCACTCATGCTTTGTCCCCTTCATAGAAATTTCAAGTAGAAAGGTTATAATTGTAATATTTACTGCACTGCAATATAGTGGAAACTTGTATATGCATGAATCAATTGAGCATTTATCAGTATTAATGGGGGAGGAATGGCAAGGGATAACAAAACCTATATCCTCTAGGCAAAAGAGGAGCACATGGGGAGTAGGGACTGCTCTGAATAAATTTGTAGCTTCTGGGTTGCGGTTTCCAACAAAACCTATATCTATGAGTAGATGAGCAGAGAGTAAATAGAGGAGAATACTATGATGGCACAGGGGGAAAGCATTAAAGTGGTTCTACCTTTTCAACTCATTAGTAATACTTTTATCCCCAGAACACAGAGACACAAAGCCGTGTTTACTTAACCATTCAAGCTGGCCTTCCTAATGACTATTTCCTCTAAAAGAGAATAATCTGTTGCACATGTGATAGAACTGTAAGGTTTCAGTTATGTCATTGACGATTTATGCAGGCTAAATATAATGATTCTAGATAGGACAATGTTGATTAATCCAGTTCCGAAATATAGAATCTTTTCTTTCCTGCATTTTGGACAATTCGGAATGTTAGATCTGATTAAATTTTTTTCAGGTGGTGAGGTCAACCAAGATGAAACTACTCAATGTGTCTACTCGATTAACCCGAGGTTGAAGCATTTCTCTGACTGGCTTCTAGACATTATTGCTACTGGAGATCTAGATGCATTCTTCCCTGCTGCAACACGCGAGTATGCTCCATTAGTTGAAGAAGTGTGGAAGGATCCTGCTATTCAGGAAACATATAAAAGAAGAGATGAGCTTCATTTCCTCCCTAATGTTGCAGAGTACTTTTTAAGCCAGGTAACATTATATCTAAACTTGTGGAGTAACAAATTTTAGTGATGTAGAAATCCTTTTGCGGCCATGTTTGAGCTGGGTATTTGATTTTTTTTATTTGACCATCTTTTTCAAATTTATGTGGAGTAATGCAACTTTCTCTTAATGTCTCAATAAATAAAGGGTTTATAAATGTATAAGACAGGTTTTGAAGCATTGGATAATGAAACGTCTAATGGTTAAAAAAGTGTGTCAAAACGTATGGCTTTGTGTGTCTCCCTGTCCTGGCCCATTGCACATATTATCTGCTATGTTTTCTTCATAGCCTTGACAATTTAGACAAGTGTTAGAATTTTAAGCATGCGGTCTTGTTTCTTCAGGCTGTTGAGGTATCTAGCAATGAGTATGAACCTTCAGAACGAGATATACTATATGCAGAAGGGGTCACTCAAGGAAATGGATTGGCTTTCATAGAATTCACTCTTGATGAACGGAGTCCAATGTCTGAAACCTACACGGAAAATACTGAAGCTCCACCCCCGCCTCTAACCAAGTAATGCTATTTTCTTCTTGTGTGTGTGACCATGTATTTAGCTCCTGGGGCTTTTCCTGTTTAAGCAAATAATGCCATTTTGTTAGTGCAGTGATTGTATTACTTAATAACATATATAGACTCGGATTTTTCTGTCTGCTGCTGATTAATATACAATCTTAGTTTTCTGAACGTTTCGTATTTGATGTCACAGATACCAACTTATAAGAGTGAATGCGAAGGGAATGAATGAAGGGTGCAAGTGGGTGGAAATGTTTGAAGATGTACGTGTGGTAGTGTTTTGCGTCGCTCTGAGTGATTATGATCAGATGTGGGTTTCCCCAGACAATAGTGGCAGTGGAGCGTTACTTCAAAATAAGATGATACAGAGCAAGGAGCTCTTTGAGAATATGGTCAGGCACCCTTGCTTCAAGGATACCCCTTTCGTATTAATACTAAACAAGTACGATCTCTTTGAGGACAAGGTCAATCAGGCGCCATTAAGTTGTTGCGAATGGTTCAATGACTTTAGTCCGGTGAAGCCCCACCACAATAATCAGTCACTGGCCCAGCAAGCTTACTTCTACGTTGCAATGAAGTTCAAAGATCTTTATGCTTCCATCACAGGCCGAAAGCTTTTTGTGTGGCAGACTCGGGCAAGGGACCGAGTGACTGTCGATGAGGCATTCAAGTACATAAGGGAGGTTCTGAAGTGGGATGACGAGAAGGAAGAGAACTACTATGGCGGACCAGAGGATTCGTTTTACAGTACAGACATGAGCTCCTCACCTTATGGAAGGCAGGAGTGATGTTGCTTTATATCTTTACATTTGTGTTTGCTCTTAATTAAAGTGAAAGGGTGAGGGCAAATGGTAATGCTCCTTGTGTTCTTCTCGTCGGAATAACTGCGTATTTTTACTCTTCAAAACATCGTTTTTATAAAATTATAATGTTATCGATGGGGTCTCGGGTTGATTTGGCATTGAGCATGCTCGCCATCTCGAGTTAAATATATGGAAATGCTTGCTTAAATTTCTTGCGGGATGTGGAAATATGTCCCTTTTCCACTTGCTTTGAGGTTGATTTCTAAGCTTGATATAATTTCAAAGTGAGTAACGTTAGATTTATTTTTTAGACAAAATTTTCAAACTATGTGACATGTCATCAATAGGAAATAAGCACGTTAATCAACACTTAATAATTCAATCATCAACAATCAAGTTATAAGTTTTTCAAAATTTGGTCTAAAGAGTTTGGTATCCCTAACATTAAATTCAAATCCTCCCCAATCTTTGAGTCCAAAGCCAACGGACTAGAGAAGCCGGGGCTTTCAGGAGGGGGAGGATTTGGATCATTCAATGGCTTGATTTTATTTGAAGTGTACAGTAGAATGAGATAACGAGAATCACATGATTTGAAATTAAGTGATCAAAATTTCCTGATCCATCAACACGGAAAACAAAAATCCAATGAGAATCTTAATTCCCTAGCATTACCCTTCGAAATATGATTTCGATTTGAAAGCACATCTAACCAGTAGACATGGTATCAATTCTTTCTCTAATCTTTGGTTGGCTCTCTAAACCCATAAACCGTAACATCAAATTAATTTTTAGATGAATATACTTCGTTTGTCTAGATTGACAGGTTATCCACCTCGATTGTCATTCCAGCTAGATCTCATCTCCCTATGAATTTCGAGAGTGATTTGATACCGGCAGCACAAAAGAACTAGGATTTTCTCTCATCTTTTTTTTTCCCCTTCTCTTCCTTTCTTTTTTTATTTGAACGGTCACAGTTAAGTCACGTTAAAATGTGAGAAGAGGGAATGAAAAAGGATGAAAAGAAGAGAGGAGAAAATCATAATCCTTCCTGAAATCATAAAATTAAAGCAGGAAGGAAAGTGAGAAGAATTATTAAAGCATGAGATAAACCACTCTTCTAGTTATTTTATACCTTAAATCTTTCAGTACACTAAAATTTATGCGAAACCGACTTATTTATTTATTTAACTTTTATAAAAGCACAATGTGGCAAGAATAAAAATGGTACTCACTTCTTGTAAAATTTCATACCATACAAGTAAACGTGTCCTCTTGTCCATAGAAAAAGTTTGGGCTATAATATTTTACACCCTTCAAGTTCGAAGTGGTTTTCAAGATTTTTATTTTCTATATCTGAGTAAATTATAGCTATGATCTCTTAACTTTAACTCAGTTAGAGCAATATTTCCTCAACTAAAAATTTAGAGTAAATTGTACAAATGGTCCCTTAACTTTAATCAAATTGGAGCAATGATCTCTCAACTAAAAATCCATTACCTTTGGTCCCTCAACTTATCAAAACGTGCAGCTATGGTCCCTCAACTAAAAATCCATTACCATTAGTCCCTGAACTTTAATTCAAGTGGAGAAATGGTCCTTTAACTTTAACCCAATTGTAGCAATGGTCCTTCCAATATAACTCGTTTTGACAAATTTTTTGACATAGTTGACGAAAAGAACCATAATTATACACTTTGATGAGTTAAGGGACCCTAATTATAAATGGTCATTCCAACATAGCTTATTTTGACAAAATTTTGACAAAATTGATGAAAATGACTATAGCTACACATTTTGATAAGTTGAGGGACCAATGGTAATGGATTTTTAGTTGAGGGACCATTGCTCCAATTTGATTAAAGTTGAGGGACCATTTGTACAATTTACTCAAAAATTTATTACTATTATTCTCTCAACTTATCAAAATGTGCAGCTATGATCTCTTAACTAAAAATTCATTACCATTGGTCCTTCAACTTTAATTCAACTGGAGAAACTGTCCCTTAGCTTTAACTCAATTATAGCAATGATCATTCCAACATAACTCGTTTTGACAAAATTTTTAACGTAGTTGACGAAAAGGACCATAATTACACACTTTGATGAGTTAAGGGACCCTAATTATATGAATGGTTATTCCAACATAATTTATTTTGACAAAATTTTGATGAAATTGATGAAAACGACTATAGCTTTAGTTCGGTAGGCTTGATGAAATTGAGCTGTAAGTATAGGATGGATGGGCAGGAACATATAAAACAATATTTGTAATCCATGTATAAGTATTGGTTGAATAACCATTTGGATTCATAACTATCATGTCCAGTCATGTCCATCTCACATTTTGAGAGAACAAGCAAAAGACTAGACTCAAGTTATTGGTTCCAACCTATCCCAATCAATCCACCAAACATGCCAGGAGTTTAAAATATTAGATTTATAGCCAAAATGGTTTTTGAGATTGACATAACTCCTCATTTTGGGTCGTAAGATTTGCAATAGAAATGGTCCATGAGTTTGTCGCAATCAATCATTTTGATCATTTCGTAAAAAATTATGCTAAATAAAAAAAAAATGTAAGAAATACCCTTAATTTAATAAACAATGCGTCAAGGTAATTTGACAAAAAAAAAATGAAGATATTTTTGTTATTTATCCTTATTTAAAGGAAATTTTCTCATGAAATGACTACAATGATTAATGGTGAACAAAATCAGGGACCAATTCTATCGATCTCAAATTTTATAGGCCAAAATAAAGAGTTATGTCAATCTCAAAAACTATTTTAACTTAAGAACCTAATATATTATTAAACCGAAAAGTTAAAACCGGTTGACAATAAAAAAGTTTTTACAGTCCATTTGTTGCTTCTCGTCCACAACTTTATATCTTTATTGCTGCTGACTCCAAAGCATGGAAGAAAATATCCAAAATATATCGCCGATATTTTCGTTTTTTTGGGTTAACGATATTTTAATGAGTATCCAATGAGTTTTCGTTAAAATATCGCGATATTAACTATAATATCGCCTAATATCGCGATATTAGCTATAATATCGCGATATTTTGTTCAAAAATTCCTGAAAATTTTGAAAAGTCACAATTTTGAACACAGAGGGGTTCGAACCCCTCCCACATTAACTCTTAGCGCCTTAACCACCATACCACTTATGTTGTTGTGATAATAAGCTACAATATTTATATATATGCTTTTGTTTTGAATTCTTTTTACAAGAAACAGATTTGCACATTTTCCAAATTTTTTGTGGTATTATATTTTAAATTGTGTCAATTAATTACTTAGTCAATGGCATGTGGTTTTTAATTTTTCTATTTTTTATTTGGTCACTTACATGGTAGGGCTGGAAAAAATTCCGAAAAATCCCAAACCAAACCGAAAAAGTCCCAAACCCAAACCGAAAAATCCCAAACCAAAACCATCCTGAAGTTCGAGAATCCCATCCCGAAAAATACCAAAATTTTCGATATGGGATTGGTTTCCAAATCCCATTTGTTTGGTAATCCCGAAAAATACCGAAGTATTCGGTTTCTTATTGACTTTTGGGTTTTGGTTCTTGAAAACCATTGCTATGGTTGCTAACTACTCTTCAAAATACACTCACTCTACACATAGAGATGATGAAGATAGTGAAAATTTTGAACCTCATAGGAACTCTATGTGGTACTAAGTCACTCATGTATCTTACCATGCAATGTATAAAGTGTAAAATATTGTACTAATTCATTATATATAAATGATTATGGTGTGTTTAAAATTACTACATATTTCTACACTCACAATGTTTGCCAGCTCGCTATATAATCAACTTAAATCAGTTATATCTATCATGCAATGCATTTCCTTCCAATTTTTTGTGATAAACTAATAGATAATTGATTAAATAAACATCCTGCAAAGTTTCAATAAAAATTTCCAAGTTTTTCTTACAATTTCAGTGATTTTTATTCAATTTTTATCGATATAGATAATATCTCGATATATTTAAATCGAAATTTTCGTATTTTTAGACTATCGAATATTTCTGACACCTACATCAAGACAAGGGGAATCCGAAACGGACAAACCCCGTTACGCCATCGCCAAGCAACCTCATTTGATCTGCCTTATCATCTAACCCCACTCACCGTCTCTCTCTCTATCTCTCTCTCTCTCTCTCTCTCTCTCTCTCAGTCTTCAAAGTCTTGAGAGAGAAACAATATAATAGGGTACCAGAAAAGGGAAAGCAACGGCCTTTCTGTGGTCGAGCATCTGTGTGTCTCTGTATCGTCTTAATATATGCGTTGTCAATACTCTAGAGAGAGAAAACACGGAGAAGGAGAGAGGGGGTTTATTGGACAGATAAAGCCAAGATCACAAGACCCTTTTGTGTGAATTGAGTTCTGTAGAAGTGAAAAATATGGTGGGTATTTTCTCAAGGTTCTCCAACAGAGCCGGTCATCGACGTACCCAGAGTGCCATTGTAAGAGCTCTTTCGTCTTCTTGTTCTTCTTTTCTTTCTTTTATATTTGAAATGTTTGTGTGTTTGTTTATTATTGCAATCTTAATTTGATTTGGTTATTAGATACTTCAGATTGCCTTGTTTTGACTGGGGTTGACTTTTTCCATTGCTTCTACAAATTTGTGCAAAAATGGAGCTTCAATTGTTGAACTTTTCTCAGCATCTGACCCTTTCTTTTGGGTTTGGATTTGTTTTTGAAAATCCCACATGTTAGAATCCGATTTTTGATATTAATTGATTGTCTTTTTTTGGAGTTTGTTGGATTTCATTTTTCTGTTATCTATTGAGTAGATCATGTAATCGATGATGATCTTTATTGCTGTCGCGGACCTTGCTGATTTTGCTACACGTTGTGATAGCATTTGTGCGTTTGATTTGTGCATTCACAATTTCATGAAGTTTGGTATCTCGTGCAGGATGGGAGGGAAGCATTGGCCCCAAACTCCGAGGGTACAGCTTCAGCACCTGCCCCCACTGCCGCGTCTCATGGGATTGAAGTAGCGGTAGAGTTTAAGCCAGTTGAACATCCGATTGAACCTTTTGACAATGATAGACCAATTCAATGCCCTTTACCTGAACCGTCAATTCTCAATGTAAGATTAAATCCTGGCTTTTTTTTCTTTCTAAAAGAATGTTGTTTTGTAAGTTTGCAAGTTAGGATGATAGAAATAATATTCATGGTATGAAGTAG